TCTATGTAGACCAGGCTGGCCTTGAACTCATAGAGCTTTTTCTGCTTCTGCCTCCTGAGTGCTAGGATGAAAGGGGTTTGCCACCATGCCTGGCTTTCCTTCACTTTTAATTTATGCCATGTCACCATACTTTGTTTTAATTCTACTGTAATATTTTTCTTTAGTTTCAATTCTAAATGAAAGAAAAAGCAGAATTCTTTCTGGAACAATGTATGGACACAAATCTATGTATTTATGGAAAAACAAGTAAATACAGGCAGGAAAGTAAAACAGAATTTGTGAGAGATTAGAGGAGACACTGTTAGAAGAGACAGATGGGAAAGGAAGATGGAGAGAGTGGAGGCCGCATGAGGACAAAATAAACAGCCATGGAGAGCTGAAGGTACTGGCAGAGAGGCAAGAGAATGAAAGGAACACTTAGTGAGCTCCCACCTAATCTCAGTCCTATAGAACTTGGTGTCACTTTGAGCTTGCAGTTGCTGGTAGTAGCTTCATTTGGGCATGAGGCTAATACATAGCAATATGAACTGAGTGGCCAGGACACCTGGATTGAACCCATTTCTCTGTGAACATCATGTTCCACAGCATGCAGCCAGTAATTGTTTATCCATCAAATAGAGTATAGTCTGTTGTTTTCCCAAGGACAGAGACCAGACCCTTATTTCAGTACACTGAGTCAATTTTCCTTGTCTGTCTGGTAATTTGACAGCAAGGTCTATTGCCCTAGCAACTGCCCTTCGACTGCCATGGCAACCGCCAGTGCAGACTTCAGTTCTCCGCTTTGCCCCTTGGACATCTCCATGGCGATGCGCAGGATGAAGAGAAGGCCAGAGCCCCAATTCTGCGCCTGCGTAGAGTGACAGGAGGGGGGGTGAGCAGGAGGGGGGTGAGCAGGAGGGGGCCAGGCTCCTGGATGTGCGCAGCCGCAGAGCTCTACGGCTGTGCCCACTAGTCCCAACGCTGCGCACTTGACAGCCAGTCCGCCCGTCCGGAGCCCGGCTCGTTGGGGCAGCATGGCGGGGTCGCCGCTGCTCAGCGGGCCGAGGGCCGGGGGCGTCGGTCTTTTGGTGCTGCTGCTCTTGGGCCTTCTGTGGCTGCCCCCTGCTCTGTCAGCGAGGCCAGTAAAGGTGCGACTCCGGTCAGCAGGGGGTGGGGGTGGGGTGGGGAGAAAGGTGGGGGAAAGTGTTGGTGCGGCATTCTTGCGGGTATGTGCATTTACATTGGTGAGGATGTCCTGGGATGCAACTGACAGTCCACACATAGGCCAAGCGCAGGTTCTGGGTGTGAGGGTGCTGAGTGTGCACCCTGCCGGTCCCTCAGCATGTGGGGCCTGGTCTGACCTCTACCGGCAGTGGCCTATGGCGCTGTCCATGGCATTAGGTAGGGCATATTCAGAAAAGATGTTCGTGTATCAGTATGTGCGCCAGTGATGCGGTGACAGAGGTGCATAGGTACAGTGTTCTTGCAGTCTTTGGTTTCAGTGCCCCCGAGCGTCCAGCACTACTGGAGATTCTTCTGTTTGACCCTTTTTGTGGGCCTGACGGCTTTCTCAGCGATACCATGTGTATATTTGTGAACCCTTATGTGTGATGACGTAGTATATGGGCGTATCTTCCTGTGCAAGTATGTGCTTCTGTGTTCGGACATCTTTTTTCATTTTGGAAGGAGTGGTCCTTGTACCTCAGGCTACATATTTTGGGTAGACAGTGCTTGGGTTTTCCCGTGTGCATCCACGAGATGGTTTCCTTCTTGCTTCTTTGTGGAGCTGTGTCATTGCAGGGGAAGGAGCCATGATGTTTCTGCTCTGCATTGTGTTTTTAAAATGATGCCTCTCCTTGCACCTGAGTGGCTCAGAGAGCATAAGACCATTTCTTTGCAGGTCCTTGCAGCAGATATGACAGTGTTGGGTTGCATGTGTAACATTTCAAGGGCTGTGTGTGTGTGTGTGTGTGTAGCAGGATTGCTGGTGAGTGATTTCCCCAGGGGCTGAGGGTGGTGTGGTGGATGCTGGCCAAGGGGACATGGATGGAGCAGCTTGCTCCTCTACCTCTTCAAAGCTGTCTGAATCACAGAGAAAGATTTTTAAAATTATTAAGTATCTAACATGGAACAATCTAACATATATGTGAGTTATAAAGAAGAATGCTAATAATCACCTTAGCATAGCCACTATCCAGCTTAAGAAATAAAGTATGACCAATACTAGGAATCCATTGCTAGCCTTAACCTCTATTTTCTGCCCATTGGTTCCATTTGTTTGTAGCTAATCTTTAAACAATCCATTGTTTAGTTTATGCTTTTGGAACATAATAGAAATGAAATCAAACTAGGCATCTGCTTCCAAGAAGTCCTTGGTGCTTGAAAGTCTTAGACTATCTACAGTGGGATTCTAGAATTTGCCTTTGTGTGAAGGTGCATGTGGTTTTGAAGCGAGGCCTTTCTGCTTGCTAACCCCCAGAACCTTTTTTCTTTCATTTATTCCCCCTACCTTTATGCTATTATAAAACACTATTGTATTGGTTCTAGAATTTATGTTCAGTAGGCTTTGGGTGCAACACCCTAGGAGTGGATCATAAAAAATTGTTCTTTTGAGACAATTGATTTCCAAGGGCAAAATATTGTAGTTTTTACTCCAAACTTGGTGGCCATCCCCCAAAAAAAGAAGAAAAGAAACGAAAACCACCTGGCATCCTGAAGACTCAGGGCAAGTTCTGAGTGAATAAGGCATCACACTGAGGTTGTGTGGATCCTAGAGGTGTTTAGTGGTTGAGTGCCCTTAGAAATATTTGAGCATCTGCGGGGTCCTTAGAGACGATAGGAATTTTGGAGGGGCCCAGTGAATGTGGTTGTCATTTAAAATCCGTGGAGCCCCACCCCCATATGGGCGTCTCTGGCTAGAGAGACGATGATGATATCTCCCCCCACACACTTCATCTTTTCGCAGGAGCCCCGCAGTCTGAGTGCGGCATCGGCGCCCTTGGCTGAGACAGGCACTCCCCGCCGCTTGCGTCGGGCCGTGCCTCGAGCAGAGGCGGCGGGTGCGGTGCAGGAGCTGGCGCGGGCGCTGGCGCACCTGCTGGAGGCCGAGAGACAGGAACGCGCGCGTGCCGAGGCACAGGAGGCAGAGGACCAGCAGGCGCGTGTCCTGGCGCAGCTGCTGCGCGTCTGGGGCTCCCCGCGTGCCTCGGACCCGCCCTTGGCCCCGGACGACGACCCGGACGCTCCTGCTGCACAGCTCGCACGTGCTCTGCTCCGCGCTCGCCTAGATCCTGCCGCCCTCGCCGCCCAGCTTGTCCCTGCGCCTGCCACTGCGCTGCGCCCCCGGCCCCCAGTGTATGACGATGGCCCCACCGGCCCGGATGCCGACGACGCCGGCGACGAGACTCCTGACGTGGACCCGGAGCTGCTGAGGTGCCTGCTGGGACCAGGGGGAGGGAGGGCAGGGGCTGCGGGACCTGCTTCACGGATGGGGAACCAGATCACTAAAGCGCTGCGCTGGAGCCTGATGAAGTGAAGTCCTGGATCCTGGGTACAGGGGACAGACGCCCATAGGTCGTAGGGGAAGGCATTTTTGGGATGGAAGATGGGGACCTCTGATTTCCTCAGGCTTCAGTGGAGGTTGCAAGCAACATGGTGTCACAAAGTTGTGTCGTCCGGGGACTACAGTGGTGACTCGTAGCGGCATCCTCACTGCATTTCGCTTCACGGTGCAGGTACCTGCTGGGGCGGATCCTCACCGGAAGTTCGGAACCAGAGGCTGCTGCGGCCCCGCGCCGCCTCCGCCGGTCTGCAGACCAGGATTTGGGTCCTGAGACGCCTCCCGATAGTGTACTCGGGGCGCTGCTACGCGTGAAACGCCTGGAGAACTCTTCGCCCCAGGCGCCTGCACGCCGCCTCCTGCCTCCCTGAGCGCTGCTGCATCCCGCACGCCCTGGAACCCACGAGCGCCCCAGCAACCCTGACTTCCTGCCAGCACGTCCACAGTCGCCTACCTGGCAACCCTAAGACCCCCTATCCCCGGAACCCTCAATAAATGCAAACTATAGCAACTCTTTGAGTGGCGTGTTCTAGGGGCCGGTAGGCTAGGTCAGAGTGATTAAGGCTGTCTATTTGGGTCTTCGACAGATATGGAATATGCCCCTGCCTGGTCTGTGCTTTCCTTGCTGGCAAAAAAGCACCTGCACAGACAATAGCAGTTGCATTGCGGTGCTCACCGGCTTCACTGAGGTGGGGGTCCCTGGGAGGCTCTGAGGTTGTTTTCAGCGTCTGCCAGGGGCCCATGGCATTAAAGGTCAAGGAATTATAGCTACACTTGCCCACCAGGACCAAGGGCTGCTTGTTGACATCTGTGGCAGCTGATGTAGACACCCAGCACGCCATCAACAACTGCCAAATCCTGATCACACAGGGTTCTGAATATTCAGCCCAACCACGGCCTTTGCACTGGTTATTTGTTTTGTCCCCATATGTGCAAGATTGTATAAATGTCACTTCATAAGGCCCTTTTAAACCTTCCTGTCACTGTCATCCATTGCCTCCTTTAATAGATGGCTTCTATCACCGGCTAGTCTTCTGTTGTACAATGATGGAGGGTTTTTTTTTAGGTGTTTTCCCTATATTCCTAGTATCCAAAACAAGGTTGGGCAGTTTCTCAAGTTATCTCTCTCTAAATTCACTGAATGGAAGAATTCAAGCAACATTCTCCCACTCATATAACACTTAGAATGAAGGCTGGGTGTCGTATACACACACACCTGTAATCCCAGCACGTGAGAGGTGGAGACAGGATGGAGTTCAATGTCAACCTGGCTTACATGAGAACCTGTCTCAGAACAAAACAAACAAAACTTGGCATGGTGGCACATACCTTTTATTCCAGGACTGAGGAGGCAGAGGCAGTCAGCTCTCTGAGTTCCAGTCAGGGCTGCATAGTACATAGTAAGACTCTGTCTCGAAACAATCAAAAACCCCAAAAGACTTAGTATGAATAGCATTTATTTGATTTTGCATAGAGCTCCATAGAGCACAGCCAATGCTGGACACCCCATTGTTACCACCTAACTCCTCACCAAATGAGAATAAAAAGGTGTCCATGGTAACTGTTATTTGGTGGGGGAGGGGACTCTTATGCCAAGAGAATTGTCATCTTGACATGACACGAGGGAAGGGTCAATTTACTTGACTAAGATCTTCAGGCTACAGAGCATCCACAGCTACACACGGCTTTGTGCTGTCGGGTCTTCTCCCTGCTTGGCTCACCCACAGCCTCCTGGGCCCTCTGAATCTCATGAACGAGCAGAGCAAAGGCCTCCTCCACGCCTTGCCGCGTCTTGGCTGACGTCTTCACGAAGGGGGCTCCCCACTTGTGAGCTAGGATTGCTGCAGCAGAGTGAGCATCTCCAGCAGTCGTCACTAGGTCACACTTGTTGCCCACGAGTACCAGGGGCTGCTTCTGATGCGGGCTCCAGGTGGACCATATCTGCTGCAGCTGGTCCAGAGATGACGGGTCATCAAGAGCAAAGACACCCAGCACGCCATCACCAGCTGCCAAGCACTGGTCACGCAGGGCCCTGTGTATATCCTGCCCCGCTGTGTCCAGCACGTTCAGAATGTAGCCGCCGTCGTCCAGGGCCACTTCCTTCCAGTAGGAATCCTGGATGGTGGGGTCGTGGTCTTTCACGAAGCAGTGGTGGGTCATTTGGATAGTGAGAGCGCTTTTACCAACACCGCTCGCACCCACCACCACTGCCTTGTACTCAGGAAGCTGCCTGCCAGCATCTTTGCACTGTGCCCAAGCCTCGTGGCTTTCCTCTGGGGATCTGGTGCACTGCGTGTTGAGGCTCAGGTCCAAGATGCTAGACTTTGTTGGCAACGCCATTCCCCAACAGTCAGCTCTAGGAAGTGATAAACAGCAGATGCTGAGAGCAAGGAGAGAAGGTCAGGTGAGACTGGTTGGAAGAAAGCAGACCCCCAGCTGTCACTGAATCAACATACTTAAGCACACTATGCTGTTTTCTCCTTGTTTGGGGGCGGGGTGAGGCAGGGTCTCAACATCCAGTGCAGGCTAGCTTGGAACTTGTCCCCCAGGTCCGCCTGACCTCCAAGTTTCAGCAATCCTCCTGCTTCTGCCCCCACAGTGCTAGTATTATAGGTGTGTCCCACCATGCCCAGATTCCTTCTTTCTTTCAGAGATAGAAGGCAGTTTTTCCTTCAACAAGCCTGGGGATCAAACCCACAGCCTTTAGCGTCCAGCTACTCCTTCAACACCAAGCAGGGACATCTCTGTTTCATACATATCTAACTTTAACATTGCATATATTTTGTGCATGGGAGGTGTTAGATTGGGATTGATGGAGGTGACTTAACCCTTGCAGGGATGGGATTATGCATGTAGACATACCATAGCATTTGTATGGAGGTCAAAGGACAATCTACGGGGGTATGTTCTCTTTCTGCAGGAGTGAGATAGTCAGCTTTGATAGCAAACATCTTTATCTCTGAGCCATCTCGCCTGTCCTGGAATTTTTCAAGTCCTCCTACTACTGATACTAACATGCATCCCATGAAGTCCAACCAGTTAAAATGTGCAACCCTTGTGTAAGCCTCACTATAGTTTGAGTTTGAGAATGTTTTTTTTTTTTAAAAATTGAACATTTTTATCATCTGGAAAAGAATCTCTATGTCCCTTAGCAGTCTCTCTCCATTGCACAAGGAGAGGGTGATTTGGTTTGGTTTGAACCCCAGCTTGGAGCTTTCCCACTGCAGAAAGATAATGAATCAGGGCTGGCGATCTATAGCTCAGTTGGTTTAGTGCTTCCTTAGCATGCATGGAGCCCTGAGTTCAATCCTTGGCACCTCATAAAAACAGCCTGGTAGCTCACATCTATAATATTCCAGTATTCAGGAAGTGGAGGCATAATGATTATAAGTTCAAGATCAACCTCAGTTCCATAACACATTTCGAATCAGACCCTATCTCAAATAAAAGGAAAGAAGAAAAAAAGGCAAGCCAAATTATGTAGCCTAGTAACCACCTATATTTCAGGGCAGGGACATAGATATGCACAGAAAGCAAAACAAAACTGGGGATGTGGATCAGTTGGCAGAATGTTCACCTAGCATGCATGAAGTTCTGGATTTGATCCTCAGTACGACATAAAATCAGGCAGAGGACCAGCAAGACAGCTCAGTGGGTACTCATGCTTGCTGGAAAAGCCTAGCAAGCTGAATTATTTCACTGGAACCCACAGTGACTGACAGGATTATTCCAGCACTTAGGGAGCAGAGGTGGGTGAATTTCCATGAGTTCCAGACCAGCCAGGGCTCCATCAGGAAAAAAAGCAAAGCCACCACCCCCAACAACAAAAACTTCAAACCGGCAGCACCCCCAGCCCAAAACAACCTTAACTGCTATTAACACTGCTTTCTACATCTTCTCATATTGCACACGTTGTTTGACATCAGATAAGTTGCTAATTATTGTTAGGTAATTTATTACTTAATATTAGCTAATTAATTGCAAAAAATCTTCCCGTATGCCAAGCATTGACATGGCACAGAACGAAACAGACTCAAGTCCTGGGGCCTTGGAGAATGTCTACTGAAAAGAGAGACAATACATATGATAAGTAAGGAAATTATCTTGCATAGTAGAAGAGGTTAGGCACACAGCAGGTGCTCAATTTGTGTTAGCTATTAATAGCAAGTCATTAACTCACTGAATGCACCTCCATATCCGGTTGGGGAAGGGCCCTCCAAGAGTGCACCATAATGGTGTTTGCCACACTTTTCACTAGAAACCAGGAGGAGTGGCAGTTCGGGGACAGGTGGTGGGTTCCCGGGGTCCCTAGCAGATTCTGTAGAGTTTGTGGAAGTGAGGAGGAATGGGGGTTGGGAGGAAGGGCTTACCCACAAAGGGATGAAGGTTAAGAAGAAAACTGTTCAGAGAACAGAGCTTTGGAGTATCCCAGCGTTTGGGGACCCAGGGAGGAAAGTCTGTAGAGACTCGGTGTGAGAAAGAACCAGGATGGTTTCAGTGGGGAGGCCCGAGGAGAACCCACGGGCTGGGGTAGTGGTGACCGTGGAACAGGTGGGAAGGAGAGGTCAGATTCTGGTTTATTCTGAAGGTGGAACTGAATAGCTTCCTTTTAAGATTAAAAAGACAGGAGACCAGGAAAGACTGACTCTTAAATGTGGGACTAGAGCAGCTGCAAATCTAGGGGTGCTGTGATCAGAGGTGGGGATAAATACGAGAAGGGCGCCTCCCTAAGGTGTTGGCGATTGCCAGTGTGGTTTGAAGCTCCCGGGAGGCCGAGTGAGTCCCCAATATGGCCACTCAATCTCATCTTTGTGATACCTCGGAAAGGCTGGGGCTATCCACGTCTTATTTTCACAAGGAACAGAGAAAAGAATGAGGGGACTGACCCCAGTCCTCTCGACAGGGACGGTAGAGACATCAGCTTTCTGTTCAAGTTACCCAGAGCCCCTAACTGCGTAGAGTGTTGCTGGAGCATCCGCAAAGAGCTCTAGGTACCCTTGAGCTGCCTGAACCAGTCTTCTGGACTCGCATCTCCGACCCAGGAAGACAGGAGCCCCAGGAAGGCGAAGAGAAGCAGGCTGGGCATTCGCGGTCAAAGAGAGAGGGAAGGGAGAGTTGCTCCAAATGAGAGCTTGTGGCCCTTTCTCAGGGTTAGCTTGGACAACTCGCTGGTCCCTGCACTTTTCCATGTCAGAATCAGGTCAGGTGTAAAGCCTGGGGTTGGGGACAGGCGACCCTAATCTATCCCCGAGCTCCTCCACTTCGGACTCAAGTTAGTCCGGTGGTGGTGGCTCCTTTCTCCTCCTCCCACCACGAGAAACAGCCCTGCTTCACGCTCACCGCGGGCACTCCACGAAGGTGAAGCGAGTGCGAGGCTCTCTCCCCGGACGAGGCAAGGACGGGGATGGGGCCCCTGGAGCCCCGCGCCAAAAGATGTCTGGCCCAGGAATGCCAGAGTCCGGCTTACCTGTGTCCCCGGAGTGGCGGTCCGCTGAGGGGCTGCAGGCGGCTCTGACTGGACAGTCTGGGGGTTAGGATGCTCCCTACCCCCAGCAGCGGCGGAAGGCGGGGATGTGGCCTTGCCCCCTCCCACCTGCCCGACCCCTGACCCCCGCCTTCTCCCTCCGCCATCGCACAATGTGGAGAGCAAATGTGGGCGGGACCTCCACCTGCCCCTCTCTACACAGCACCCCCCCTTCGGCCCGCCTCTCCCTCGCCTGGATTGCTTGCTTTAGGGTTGGTTCAGCTTGGGCCATTTGTGTATATGTAGTGCTGTGTCAGGATTTGACCTGGAGAGCCACATTTTGGAAACCATTTTGTGAGTCTTTTTGACCCAGAGAACTTGTACAACTTCAGCTGAGTTTCTAGGTAGCTCTGGATGGTAGGCTGTGTCTGTCCTGAAGGGAAACAATTGCAGGGAAAGGGCTATTTCATGAGAACAGAAAGAACCTCATCTGAGGCAGAAGTGCAAGTTATAAATCCCTCAGACTCTCTTGCAGCTATGACAATCATAGGCTAGAATTCTGAGCAAGTAAGTTGAGGCATTTGTAATACTCCCCAAAGGGACTGAACTGGATTGTGACATAGCTCAGTTGGTAGTGCTTGGTAGGCATGCAGGCACTGCCTAAAATGTCTGAAGTAACACCCTGCTGTCACCCCAGCATTAGGGAGGTGGAAACAGAAGGCTGGAGAGATGGCTCAGTGGATAAAAGCACTGACTGTTCTTCCAGAGGTTTGATTCCCAGCACACACATAACAACTCAAAACCACCTGTAACTCCAGTTCCAGGGGATCTGTCACACTCGTCTGACCTCTGTGGCACCAGACATGCACATGGTGCAGAGACACACATGCAGACAAAACACTCATACAAATAAAATTTAAGAAGGATGTACAGGGTCTGGAAAGATGGCTCGGTGGTTAAGAACACTGACTGCTCTTCCAGAAGACCTGGGTTCAATCCCCAGTACCCACATGTAGCTCACAACTGTCTGTAATTCCAGTTCCGGGGGACCTGACAACCATGGCATAACACCAGTGCTCATAAAAAAGGATGTATGGGGTCAGAGTTTGAAGTCAGCCTGAGTTATGAGGTCCTATCTAAAAGGGTGTGTGTGGGGGAAGAGCTGCTCTTTTCCTTTTTGACTAGGTAAGTCTCTGGGATCAGGTGACAATGAACAAAATTCTTAAACATCAGGAAAGGAATTTTCAGATGTGGAAACTCCAGGAAAGTCCTCCAGTTATCCAACTCTGGGAAAATGGCACTGCACTCCTTCCCTCTGGATGCCAGCCATAACAACTATATCCACGTTAAAATTGAGCCTTACCCTCACCAAGCAAGTCAATGAGACAGATGGGCAAACAGGCTTAGTGAGGCTACTTCCTGACAGTTCTCATGTCTTCTTACCCTGGAAAGCAGCTGCAACAGGCTGACACCCTCTATTTGTCTTTGTTTTTAGTAGTTCTGACTTTCCTAGAACTTTGCCATGTAGACCAGGCTGGTCTTGAACTCAGAGTTCCACCTGCTTCTGCCTCCCAAGTTTGGGGATAAAAGGTGTGTGCCACCATGCCTGCTGAGACTCCTATTTCTATGGTGGGCACTCATTTTCTCATGAATTCTATTATTTAATTGCCAGAGGAGCCAATCTAGCTGCCTGCTTCAATTTTAGTTATTTGTGGGGGCAATGGATGGCCAGTTGACTTGAAGAAGACCTCCCCCCAGCTTTCTTCTTCCCTCCCTTCCGTCCGTTGTGCTGGCTAGAAATGAGGGGCTTTTCCAATTAAAAAAAAAGCTTTCTTCAGGTTTTGTAACAACTTAAACTTTATTAAATACACAGCCTGCTATAACTGCCATTTGTGCCCTTCAGTGTCATCCTTGTGATTTCAGGTCCTTCTTAGGGCTACTAAGTTGTCCCTCTTTCCTTCTGGGGTAGAACAGTGGTGTTCCTCGAGCAGGCAGTGAGCAGGGGCAGATCTACAACTGAACATTATAGTCCGTTTAAAAGGATTTGCACTTAAAGAAGCACCTTGCAAAGGATATTCAGGATAGGTTTAAGTGAGGCCACCCTCATCCAAGGTACAGGTTGCAGTGAACTAAGCTGTTCTGTTTGGGACCTCAGAAGGTGAACAGA